ACAGAGCCCACAAGGAAGGGAGAATGTTTATGGCACTCCTGGAAAGAAGTTTAAAATGACTGGTGAATACTTAAGTTTATTGAATTAAAAGTTATCTATGGGGAAATTCATACATACCAGCCTGTGCGGCCAGTTGCAGCCACAGAGCCCACAGGGAAGGGAGAGAGAGACCCAACAATCCCACGGCCAAATCCCACTGTGACATGAATAACAGTCAGTACACCAGAGGAACCAAGCTGAAGGTGAGAATACGGCAGACAACGGCAACTCACCAATAGTTGCAACACTGCAAGACCGGGAACCTCCGGAGGAGCCAATCCTCCTCAAACGCACCGGGTGTCAGCTGCGCTAAAACAGAGTAGTGTCAAGCCGTGTCGCTCGTGCCCATGAATAAATGACAGAATGCAAGATGTTTTACCTGTCTGGTAGAGAGTGTGATGGGCGAGCTGCCACGCCAAACAATCCACGCGGCCACAAAGGAGAAGCGGAGGGGGAGGGAGCAGATTTGTCTCCTCCACTTAAATAGCAGGTGCGCAAAATAGCAGGTGCGCTGGCATGGTGCCAAGCAGCGTCACAGAGGGAGGAGACGTGACGTCCGGTCACATCTGCATTAGAACTATAAGGTTTATCCTAAAAGCCAAACTCTTGGTAAGCAGTATTTCCAGCTGTGAAGATACACATCGCTTGTTCATGTCAGTGTTACATGAACACTCCCTCCTCTCCTCCCTGCTCCTCTTTGAGGCAGCAGCAAAGACTAGTTTTAGCTCTCAACAAGTTTTATCTTACCTTTTTTCACCTAGTTAACTTTTTACTTATTTATTCATGCATATTTTACTAATCACTACCCTCTCAAATGGAAATATGTGTTTACATAAATGGTGACCAAACCGTTTGAGACCCACTGAGAACTTAGACTAAGTCAGTGGCGGTTCTAGAACATTTTACATGGGGGGGCAAAGGGGGGGCAAGAGGTCATGCCAGGGTGGCATGGGAGGGCGGACAGTACGTGGTATTTTATACTGTATACCTATTTATTGTTAATTCATGCCCTAACACAAGTGTTCTTAATGCACAAGAGAAACAAGGTGTTCAGACAAACAATCGGGTGCCCTTTGAGTCCCCCAAGCTTACCTCAACCATTTTAAATGAAAGGAAACTACAAAATGTATTTTAAAGCAATGTAAAATTAAATATATATTTTGTTTTAAAAAAAATTGGTTGTCTTAGACAGACATATTTGCATGTCCTCACTAAGCATTATTTCATATTAATTTAATATTAAACAAATCAAAATGGCCAATTATCCCAACATGTTGCTGCTAATATAATCATATGCTTGTCAACTTTAACTGATCAAAAATCAATTCTGAAAAAATACTTGAATTATCTATGAAATTGCAATATTGTCCCTCAGTTTGTTTCAACCCCGTCACGCCATACCATTTACCCTCCTATTAAAATAATGGATCAGTCCATGTGTGATCTGCATTGAGGGAATTACATCACAAAAGTGTCAGTTTCTTCTCTTACCTATATTTCAGTTTTTGTATTTTCAGATTAAGATTGACAAGCTCAACATTTCAACTATGTTGTATGAATTAATAATAGTAAATAATTGTTTATTACAAAAATAAACAATAGTTTTGCAAAATATTACAATTTTGTAATGTCCTTGACTTCCATGTGGTGCCATATCTAAACAAGGTCTCATGCTACTTTTTGTCAAAAACTTCAACCCTGTTACATTTCTTCAAGGAAATTCCTAGTAATTATTTATATTTTGTGCCTGAGGTGAGAAAATGTAAGTAGTCCACTACCAGATGTTATGACCAAACATTTTGGTTTCATTTTTCAAAGATATAAAGACCCAAAAGGCACCCGATTCAGAGAATACTCAGAATTCTGCATACTGTAAGTACTTAATTATAATTAAGTACACAAATGACATCACCGCCATCACTTCAGAGAGCTACAGGTGACCTGTGCAGCAACACATTTCAATCAATATTTGTCAATACTAAGAGCTGCTAGATTGTGCTGCTGTAATGGAATATATAAGGAGAATAAGAACATACCATGTGGTCCAGCTGGAGTTTCATCTGCCTCCTGATCCCTGCCTCTGGCCCTCTTTCTGATACTTCATCTTTATTCCTCACATATATATCTTCTTCTTCTTCACTAATGTCTTCATCTCCTCCTCTTCCTCCTGGTCTCTTAATCTCCTCCTCTTCCTCCTGCTCTGACCCTCTTGGTTTCTTCATCTCTCTTTTCCATTTCCTCTTTCTGTTCGTCCTGATCACTTCTCATATGTCTTTTTGCTGTTGTTGAATCACTCCTATACTCTGGCCTGCAAGAGTCTACTTGTGAAAAGCACTGGTACAAATGCTTGTATAACTTTACACGTTAGGGCCATGTAGCCTAGCTAATATGTAGCATATCATAAATATAACATCAGAAAGTATTGATCAAGCGCACACAGGCAGCTATGTTTGGATCCAGTTTTTACGGTAAAGGATGTATCCTGGTTTCATTGATCTGGCCTCATGGCTGTGATGTGTAGTTTACGTGGATTTAATAGGAGGCTACCGCGTAGTTTAACAAAGTGATCGATCTCCCAGATAACGCTGTGTGCGTAGTATTTTGTAACGTAACGCCCCAAACAGCGCCCATCTGTTAAACGCTATCGATTCAAACGGCAGCGTTTTATTAATATTTAGTTTCAAGCACTCGTCCTTAGTAAAAACAAAACTAGTGGAAATGGAAAGGCTCCCAGGGGAAGCTGATCCATAGGTGCTGGGACAGCTCGCTCCCTCTCTGCAGCGGTGTGAGCCGCGGTCTGTGTGAACAACCCAGTCTCACGGCATTTTGTGTTCACCAACACGATTTTTAATCTATTGATTCGTGTTCACCAACACGATTTGCCCCTTTTTTTCGTGTTGCACAGCACGATTTTAAAAGCAATGTATTTCTACTGCCTGCAGCACGTCTTTTTCTCCGGTCGGGTCGTGGGAGACCGGAAGCTGTGTGGTTCATAAAACATGTTCTTACTCAATATCAAGCCACAGTTATTGCTTTTATTTTAAATCGTATAATTTCGGACTTTTGTTGCCGTCTGTGAGGAAAATAAATGGGGCTCAGAGCCTTAGGATACTGAAATCTGTATTTTTTAAATCTTTTTTTCCTTCTAATTTGTTATTCTTTTCAAAATAACACATTGTTATTTACTCACAAATAACACACAATTATCCTTGCTTTTATTTATTGGTTTAATTCCATAATCTCGGGCATTTTTGGCGTCCGTCAGGAACTGAATTTCAAAATAAAAATAATCGGAAACAGACCATTTCGAGCGATTACCCAAGATCCTCAGCTATGGTTTTAAGCTCGCTTATTGGATGTTTTAGCCGCAATGCATGCTGGGATTTGGTGTTTATATGATATGAAATCCGAAAACATTTTAAAAGAATAAAATAATACTTAATTCCGAGCGCTCTTGCTTTTCTCTTTGAAAGTCATCACATAACGGCATTGTAATACACGGTTCGGCTGCATTGTATATTACAGATCTGCCGTAGTTCTTTATTTATAGAGCCCTGATGAGAAGACCTTTGGAAAAACTGAAGAAATGCCGCCGAAACTGAATACTTGACGTGGATCATAAATATATTCAACAATTAAACAACATCTTCAATTTATCTTCACACAATACGTCTCCTTGCAGTATCAACACTAATTCGGCTGACTTTTACATTTGATCTAATTCACAGATAGGTTATATTAACCATAACGGTGCACAGCTGATATAAGAGGACTGTAGTTTTTAAAGATATTACTGATTTTCTTTGAATGTAAGAATGTAAATACTGAGTCTGAAATAGTATAGCAATATGCTGTAAAATTACGTGAAAGCATGCATAAAACTACACATCTTCAGATGTTGTACGAAAACACAAGTGTCCTACATTTATAATACAAAGTTATTATGGCTGTGTGTACCTTGTGTGCACCTCCTAGTGGTTAAAGCACGTTATTGAATTATTGTTATATTTGATTACAAAAATATTAAGAGTACATACTTTCATAGGGGGAAAGTATAAATATAGAATGTAAAAAATGTGATCTCTACAATAAAACAGTTTAGTGTTGTACAAAGATATTAATAGGAGGAGGTGCAAAACAGAAAAACGAATTAACCTTTATTTAAACATTAAATAACAGATTAAGGTCTTCTTTTAAATAAGAAAAAAACGTTGGGGGTATCTATCTACAGATAAATATTAAGCCTGACAAAGTACTTAACGTCTAATATATTGCTTTCCTGCAATGTTAACTATGTTGAAGCACTTATTTTTAACTGATATTATACATATGAATTATACTCTTATGTATGTAGATAGAATAAGACATTTGCAGAATATGACAGTTTGATGGTGGAGGTACACACATATTGATAGATGTCTTGTTGAGGAACCTGTGACCCAAGTGTTTCATTCATTGCATAACTACACCGTAGTTGTGTATATGATATGTCAATAAACCTTTGAAAATTTTGAAAGGGATGTGCAAAATAGCCATAATATACAGTCTTTAATTAACTATTAGTAGAGAATAACAAGTAATGAATATACTTTATTACTCGTTTCCATTCATGTCAATTGCAGATACATGTTTAGTCTTCTCAAGCACCAATTATCAAATATCTCTCCTGATTGTTGGCACTTGACAATCACCTTACCTGAATTTTACTCAGGTGTAACTAAAGTCTGATTTAAGGGTTGTTTATATTTCACATAATTAATCAGAATCTGCAAAGTAACTCAAATAAATGCAGTGGAGTAAAAATACCAGGTTAACCTCTGAATTGTAGTGGAGTATAATTACAAAGTAACAATGAGCTGTCATGTGGGTATTAATGCTGCGCATTATGGACACAAGCGATTTTCACCCATTTATTAATTATATGTTTTACATTTGATAACACAAATGTGTTTAATACTGACAACTTCTAATTGTGGGAAAAACGAAAACGTTCAGTAGAGACGTCCCATAGAACATTTTGCGAAACACAATAGCCAGCATGTGTAGTTCTGGGGGGGCGTTCGATTCCAGTTTTAGATAGTCTGGCGTGGTTTCGTTCCATTTCACACAGCTGTTTGACGCTCTGCGTAACCTTACGGGACTGTAGTCCTAAACGATAGCTGGGGATTATGGGTAGTGTAGTGTCTTCGGCCATCCTAAACTCAGAAATGTTGACAATCTCAATGATGCTCGAAATGTCCCTTATAGGCCTACGTCTGTTTCCGGTTATTTTTATTTTGAAATTCAGTTCCTGACGGACGCCAAAAAAGCCCGAGATTATGGAATTAAACCAATAAATAAAAGCAAGGATAATTATGTTTTATTGGTGAGTAAATAACAGTGTGTTATTTTTAAAAGAATAACGAATTAGAAGGAAAAAAATATTTAAAAATACAGATTTCCGTATTCTGAGGCTCTGAGCCCCATTTATTTTCCTCACAGACGGCAACAAAAGTCCGAAATTATACGATTTAAAATAAAAGCAATAATTGTGGCTTGATATTGAGTAAGAACATGTTTTTATGAACCACACAGCTTCCGGTCTCCCACGACCCGACCGGAGAAAAAGACGTGCTGCAGGCAGTAGAAATACATTGCTTTTAAAATCGTGCTGTGCAACACGAAAAAAGGGACAAATCGTGTTGGTGAACACGAATCAATAGATTAAAAATCGTGTTGGTGAACAGGAAATGCCGTGAGACTGGGTTGGTGTGAACGCCGCTCCGCAGTTTAATGCAGGGCCGTAGCTGCGTTTTTAACGGGCCTAAAATGATATTTAAAATGATTCACTTTTAACAAATGTAATGCTTGTTTTGTTGCTTGAGAAGCTTGTGGAAATAGTGTAGGTTTGTTTTAGTACAGTTTTAGGGAAACAAAAATTAGGGGGGCAGCTGGGGGGGGCAAGGCTCTACAGTGTCACCACAATCAGAACAGACTGTGCCCGAACCATGACCGCTGCAATGAGACTGCTCACATTCCAGCACATGCCGTGTGTTGCTCACGTGTTGCAAAGGACCATCACAGTTTGCCTTGCTGACAGCGGGTTCAGAGGCACATTGGCAAGATGTCGTAAGATAGTGGGGCATTTTAAACACAGCCCCTCAAACACAGAGGAACTGCACAAGGAGCAAACAGAACTAGAACAAGACAAAGAGCCACTGATACAGGATGTTTCCACAAGGTGGAATTCAACACTGTTTATGATCTCTCTGCTGAAGAACCAAGAGGCTGTGAAGGCTACTCTAGCCAAACAGAAGCACAATGTTGACTCACCATGTTGACTACAGCAGAGTGGGACAGACTGCAGAGGCTCAAGACCCTCCTTAAACCATGCAGGTAAACACCCACCAACTGTTTTATTAATGGGATTAATTCATCATTGCTGTCCCTTGAAAAACGTTGTGAATTGACTATGATTGTGCAGTATAAATTAAATTGCTTTTCCAAAATGTATTGTACTGAATATCAATATCACTATGACTATAGTATAAAGTTGCTACTGTTTTTAATCTACTATTAATTGGTACAATAATAAATCACTTTCCTAAACTATCCACTGCAGATATGTGACTGAGCTCCTTGGGGGTGAGACTTATGTCTCGTGCTCTGTTGTGTTACCTGCTCTCCGCCACCTGACCCGCACCATGGAGTTCTCAGATAACGACCCAGCCTATGATGTGAGGTTCAAGGCTGCCTTTAAAAAGGACCTGTCTCAACGCCAAGATGCACTCAACCATGGATGGCTCAGGGTGGCTACAGCACTCGACCCGCGCTTTAAGGTAACATGTGTAATGGTCTTCTTTGTTTTTCTCTTTTCTTGCTTTTTGACCTCCTTTCCCCTGCGCCCCCCTCTTCTTCCCTCCCCCCTCTTTCTTTCTATGGAATAACAATATGATGGGAACCATGTACGAAAATGAATTTCACCCACCTTTTTACTCTGTAAATCTGTGATGTGACAATAAACCTGATTCTGATTCTGATTCTAAGGACCTAAAGTGTCTACCAAGAGGAGAGCGAGGAGGGGTGTGGACCAGCGTTGAGGCACTGCTGCAAAAAGAACCAGACAGAGCCACTCCAGAACCCACAGAGGAGCCAGCAAGGAAGAGGAGCTTCCTGCTGTTTAATTCAGACTCTGAATCAGAGGATGAAGAGGGGCCCAACGGGGCTCTGGGCCACTACAGGGCAGAGCCCACCATCAGTGAGACAGACTGCCCACTGCAGTGGTGGTCCACTCATGAGGGGGCCCATCCACAGCTTTCTGCCCTGGCCCGCAAGTATCTGGGCAGCCCTGCCACTTCTGTCCCTTGCGAGAGACTTTTCTCACTGGCAGGTAACATAGTTCAAAAGAAGAGGGCAGCCTTGAGCTCTGAAAATGTGAACAGGCTAGTTTGTCTCAGCAACTGGCTGAAAGAGAAGAAGCAGAAGAAGTAGTCTTAGAGGTATCCTGAGGCCAATGGGCTTGTTACCAAAATGTTGATCAAACAGTGGCCTATGCAACAGAGATTTTATTTTTCATCAGGATATTGGAAGAATAGGAGGGATTGAGGTCAATCACTGGCACTTTTTTATTTTACTTTAAATGGTACACTTTATGTTGAACTATTTATTATGTTGTTGGTGCAACTGGCACTTTATGTTGAACTGTTTATTGTTTTGGCCAAGGTTATTGAGATAGTTGGACTGAAATTGATTAGATTTTTTAAATCAACAAAGTCTGTTATGGCCTCTGAAGCAAGAGAGATGTTTTCGAATAGTCAGGGTTTCCAATGTTCTAAATGTACTAGAAAGTATTGTGTTTTACTTGAAAAAGTACCACCTTGAAAAAAAAATAAACAATGTTTTGTTGCTTAAGCTTATGTATTCAGTCATTATTCAATGGTATACTAAAATCCATGTGAAAATTGCTTCTCACTGTTCTCAGGTCAAATAAGTATATTTGATTAAAAATGCGATTAATTTCGATTAATTAATTACAAAGCCTCTAATTAGATTAATTGTTTTAATCGAGTCCCGGCTCTAATAAAAATGTAATTATGGATTATAAACAATTGCTTCAAAGCCACATATACATTATCAACCAATGGATCTACCGATTCAGCCGCGTTTTTTCTTTCTCGTTTTAATGCCATTGAACACGTCTTTTTATCAGATTGACAGCTACGGTGAGACGATCTCCCGTAAAAGCTCCGTAAAAGGTACGTGTTGTGATGTCTGTGTTTGCTTCCCCTGTTGCGAGATCGGATCGCTTAGATACTATACTTAAATAATCTGTGGAGTCTCAGCTTTAATCGGATATATTGTATGTGCAGTTTCGATAAGTAATAAGGGTATCTTTATTTTTAATTCTGTGCTAAAGTGCGTTATTTTATTTTTTTAAATGAATAAAACCGCACGTCCCTGCGGTGTGAATACCGCGCATGCGCATACCGCGGTTATCGCCATGACACGGTGTATCGTTCAGCCCTACTGTCTACCCATAAGCCCCCCCCCCTCTCAATCAACTTCCTCTTGACTGCCTTTTTTACTTACTTGTTTGCCTGTCCTTGTTTGTCTACCCTCCCTCATACTGTAAAGCGTCTTTGAGTTGTGAAAAGCGCTATATAAATAAAATGCATTATTATTATTATTATTATCTGAACAGGACATCGCACGCTCACTGCTTGATAGCGCTCGAAGGTCCGTTTACGCCGGTTGTTAAACAACATCGTTATGGGGAAATGCAAGTGGCGATGAGGTCTTAAAATGTATGGAAAGGGTCTTAAAAAAGGTCTTAAAAGGTATTACATTTGACTTCAGGATTCCTGCATATACCCTGTGAACTTTTTTAACAATAAAAACAGTGTTTTGATACTGAAACATTCATTTTTCATGTTTGATTTTTCACTGTAGGTTACTATGGAGACGGTTTGAATGCCATAATTGTGTTCGCTGTGTGCTATATGCCTGAAAGCAGTCAACCAAATTACAGATACATCATGGACAATTTATTCAAGTGAGTGTTTATTTGATTTCTTCTAGCCTGGTGAGCAAACCATTTGGATCCAGCGCTAATGCTATTTCCCTGTTTCCTGCAGGTATGTCATCGGCACACTTGAACTTTTGGTTGCTGAGAACTATATGATTGTGTATTTGAACGGGGCCACCTCAAGGAAAAAGATGCCAACTGTCGGCTGGCTCAGAAAGTGTTATCAGCAGATTGACAGGAGGTCAGTCGGAGTGAACGTCAGACTCAGAAACAAGCAGAGCATCAGGCCAATCCTCAGACAGTTGTATCTAATATGTGATTACATGTTGTCTATTTCCCTCCCTTTCTGTACAGGCTAAGGAAGAACTTGAAGTCTTTGATAATCGTTCATCCCTCCTGGTTTATTCGCACGCTGCTGGCACTCACAAAACCTTTCATAAGGTAATTTATAATGTTTAAAGTCACTAAAATGATGAAATTAAGATTCACTCTGGTAACCTTTTAGATTTTGATATTTCCCCTTTTTCTTTTTTGACAGCACCAAATTTAGTCAGAAACTCCAGTATGTGTTCAGCTTGACAGACCTTGCAGAACTGGTTCCAATGGAGTATGTGTCCATACCAGATTGTATCAAAGAGTAAGTACAGTCCACTCAAACACATGCACTTTTCAAGCCAAATCAGACCTTCTGGGATATGGCAACATGTTTGTTATGATACACGAGCGTTGTTATGTTTACATAGGGTGGTTCTCTGTTGAGGGAAGACATTTTGTTTCCATGAAGTGAACCTGGTGACTGCAGATCTTACAGCTGTGCAATGAATCAATACTTGAAATATAATAATTGAAAAAACCTGACTCCTCCAGTAGAAGTAATCTGACATGTATTTACCTTTTACAGATGTAATCTGTGTAGGTAAAAATGTAAGAAAACGTCATGTCCCTTGCTTTTTCCCCCTATTATCTGGCTGATTCTGCAGACTGTGGTTGGATTTCATTTGTAGGTGGTGCCACAGTAACATTTAGCTTTTCCTGTATGGCCAGTAAAGACAAGATGTCGGGGGTTTTAAGGCTGACTCACTAGAAGAGATCCAAATGCAAGCTACTAAGATTTAAACACTCATGAGTTTATTTAACCTTCAACAAGTATCAAGATTACTAGAAAATGTAGCTTTGTTTTGTCCCATAAACAGCTATCAAGGAATTAGTATTTTCCTCGGGTTGACCTTCGCTGTTCTGCATCATTATTGAGCTCATGCTGTATTTTCTACTTTACCTGATGCGGCCTAGTTTCCATGTGGCTTTTGTAAAAGCTTCAATGCAAATTCATCTCTTTACCAAATGTGTTTGCTCTTTTTGGATGTCTGGTTGCTGTTGGCTGTTATTCTTTTTTCCTTAACTCCATTTCCCTGCCCCCTCTTAAGGTTTGACGAAGAAAAAAATAGGAAAAGCCGTAAAAGGTATATACACTTACAACCAGGGTCAGTCTCAGCACTTTGTTGTTTTGCAATTCACAAACTAACAACGAAATGATCCGTTGGCTTTCAAAAATGCAACAATACACTTCGTTCTGTCCCGAATGTTTGTAGTTGGATGATTTGCTGTCCTCTCTAAATGTCCCACATTTTCCCCTCATTAAGGACGTTCACTCAATAGCAAACTGAGAAGCTTGGTTGGTTTCCAGAAATAGGTGGCTTGGTCATTATTTAACCAACTTAATCTAATTTCTGAGCCAATCCTGTAAAGTACATTTCAAAATCCATTCTTGTTTATATGTTCTCTATTCTTGCCTCAATTTAATATCAGCGATCAGTTGTTAAAACATCATGTACCCTTAGTAGCCTATTGCATAACAAAGGTACTGGTACAAGGTACAGACACTGAATCATTGATTTATGTCCAGCACATACTTTTCTAGCTAAATAACTGCATTGCTGCTTTCTGATATTAAAGTTGGGGCCTCAAGTAGATCTTACTTTGCATGTGTCTTTTTAAAAACCAGGTTTAGAATTTGATCTTGGGTAAATTTGTTCATATTTGTACGACTAGTGGGGTGGACCTACAGGGAAGTCTTTGTTACTGTGGTGTTGTGGTTTGCACTGTAACCATATCCTCACACGGATGCACTCGATAACTCTCTCACTGAACACTGGGCTTGTCCACTCTCACAGCTCTCTGCATGACTCACTGCATACCCACTCCTTGCTGATGTTTAGTAATACCGCAAACCTTACCCTCATGCACATAGACTTTTTACTCTATAGCCTACTGATAAGCACAGACAAGGGGGTTATTGAATTGCAATTATGTTGTGGCTTATCAAAGTAAGGGTGTAAGGCATTTACTGTATCTGTATGCAGATGGTAAGTCTAGTAAGTTAAACCTTTAAGTGAAACATGAAATATGCTCTCATACTAAAAAGTCCCTTTGGTAATGGTGTAGAGGCAATGATCACATTTCAGTATGTCATAATATAAAAACGTTTCTGTTGCAGGGCAGCCTGTTTTTATTTTACATATCGGTTATCTTGTAATGTAATGTAATGTGTTGTTATATGACCTGTCATCCCAGTAGCACAGGTGTCTGATCACTGTTGAATTTCCCTGCAGAATCGACCAGGACGCGCACGGCAAAGTGGAGATCGCAGCGGCTGCTGTTCCAGAGTGACCCTGCTAGCCCGCACGATGTGGAGGAGGAAAACGACGGAGAATGTTTCAAACAGCCACTCGTATGTTTATGTTCTGGGCAACGTGACTGAAGACTTGTTTGCATCATGAAGTGCCTTTTTGAAACTGTGCTGCCTGTTACATCGTGGGACTTTTCACAGCTTGATCTTCAGCGTTCTTCCACTTGCTGTCTGAAATGTTTTTAATCTTATTTTTATTTACTGCCAATATATCATGTCCAACTTAGCTTATTGGTGTCCCCTAGTTACTGGTGTATCTACACGTTATGTAAGGCACTCTGTTACAAATGATTGATGCATGTTCTGCTTTATTACATTTAAATATATATTTATATTCAAAAGGTGACAAAGGAGAGAAATTAATATATTTTTATGGTTGCTCTGATTTTAAACTGCATTTTAGGTCTCTGACCCGTTGAGTGGCATTTCATTGAACACGTGTTGACAGCACCTTTTTCACTTTTCACTGCTGACGTTCTCTATCAAAATCCTGCCTGGGGGAAAATAAAGTTTTATTTTTTTCCCTTCACTCAGAATGTGCCCTTTGAGTTGTGTAGGGAGAACATTTGTGAGAGCAATGATCTGAAGCAAAGATGTAGGTCTTAATGTAACATTTCCTCCAAGTAAAGTCATGGATTTCATCATTGTTTTTTATTTCATACAAGATAGGTAGGTAAATGACAGCATTTGAGATAAAAAAAAATCACCAAAATATGTTTGAAAACAAATTATATTCACATTACTTCAATCAATTCAATTGGTTTGCTTTAGATACTACTGTATACTGTTTTTACCTTCTTTATCTCATCCACTTAGACTCCACTAGATGGCACCACAAATATCGATTTCATTGAAGTTGGAGTTTATCATCATTTCAATATAGCCTACTGACAATAACAGCCACATTCATAAAAACCATGACAAGACAGATAGTATCTTGAAGATAATTAATAGAGAATGAATCAAGAGATTTCAGTTAAATAATGGCAATATAAAAATAAACGTAATGATCTGTATTAAATATAAACTTAAAATATTATACATTTTAGCTGATTAAGCCTTACAAATTGTTAGCAGTGATCTGTTACCATGTCATGTCCTAACATCTTAAACCGCAGAACTGACTCCAGACACCTAATGGCGATGTCATCAATCTCAGGATCAAACTTATTTGCAAAGAGGTGATGTTGTTGAAGGAGCCAGGCGAGGTCTCCAGCGCCGTACACACACACTGATCTTCTGTAAGCACCGGTGCAATGATCGTACGGGGCTCCATCTTTTATTCTGCCTGCATGCTCGTACCACTTCACCACGCGAGCGATGGCTTGTATGTCTGACTCATCATACTTGATGTTGGCAGGGATCGATCCTGGAACGGAGGGCATCCTCTGCAGGGTCGCCCACAGGTTCTCATCGGGGCTGTAAGTGTCCCTCTCCCACTCCAATAACTTCTGAGCCTCTCTGTCCTGCATCAAATGCTTCACAAAGGCTCTCGTGACCACAAAGTAGGCATTTCCCATGAACATAGGGCTGCTAATAGGTGGGGGACTTTTCTTCACATCAGTCCTTACGACAGTGCCATTAACATTGTGATGATACTGCCAGCGAGCTTTCTTGTAGTTATTGGTGGCCTCTGTCTCCATGCTGTTTCTCCCGTTTAAGGCTTTTAGAGCCTGAACCATTTCCCTGTTGGTTTTGATGGGAAAGTCGCTCCCGCAGGTGTTTAGCAGGTACCTCCACTGGACGTGTGAGTTCAGCAGATCTTTCATGCAGTTCAAATCCGCCTGCACTCGGGACCATGAGGCATAAACCACACGTTCTAACCTACTGGCTAGAAACACATTAGGAAGGCAGGAAACAATTGCCTTCACTCCCTTCAGAAAATCTTCAGAGGATTTCTGATCCACATGCACACAGTAGATATTCTGAGGAGTGTAAATAGCTCTTAGAAGACGCTCAAACATCTCTATCTTTTCATGAATAACCATTGAGTAGGCAATGGGAAAATCCTTTTCTTCTTCACTGAGGGGTGATGTAATGAAACCTCTCTTAAGGTAAGCTGGACAGTCCTTTGTCACGTTAAGGTAGAAGTCCTCAGTTAGTACTTTATGTCTTTTCCTGGATCCCAAAAGCACTTCTAATTGTTTTTTCTTGCCGGTAATGTCTCCACTGATAATAGCTGAGCAGCCAGGCAGGTCAGTAAAAAACTGCTGTGGTATTCTGAGATCAGGCAACGACTGCTTGTTGGAGTCAGGCAACGACTGCTTGTTGGAGTCAGTTTTCCAAAGGAAAAATGAAAGCAAAGTACCTATGAGGATGAGAGAGAGGGTCCTCAAAATCAGGTGAATGAAAAACCTTGCCATTCCTTGGCTGTAGTCACTTCAGCATCGGTGATCTTTGTTTCACTGCAAGCTAGTTTGACAGGTACATCTCATGAAAAACTGAATAAGCCCTCCCAGTAGGTGTGTTAAACTAAGGTGTGTTAGGCATTTGTTGAGCAAACTATATGGTAACCATTAATAGGATATGGACTTTCCTGTGAACAGACGGACTTGTTTGAACAAGTATTATACATAATATTGGAGCGTCTATATTATTTTATGATACGATAATATCAGCACACAGCCATCACAATGTTTGCACTAAGGACATCAAGTAGAACATATTTTTATTTCATTTAAATGTCTATTTACAGAGATCATGGTCATTTAAATTATTATACACAATCATTTCACTGTTGAACGAATATATCTATAAGTAACAAAAAGAAAGTCATACAAACACATGTGTTTTTTTTACTGTTTACTCACAAATGCCCCTTCTAAGAATGTGCATTACAGGTATACAGGCACTTTGTAGAGCAGAATAACACTCAACAGCACTCAAAAAAGAACAATCCCAAAGAAAAATACCACTACTCTCCTTAACATTACTGCACAATTTACATTTTTCCCGTCAGTCATAATTTTGTGATTATCCACAATACATTCCTCAGATATCTTCATCTCTGTTTTCAAAGTATCTACATTTGATTTAGACAAGTGCTCTCATTCACATGATGGGGTGCATCTGCGTCCTGCTCATGGATGAAGCTGTATCGTCGATACACCGATCCGCCTCTGCTGGTGTACACCACATCCACCTCGCCCCCGCTGTCCGGCTCAGGGACCCCGTGAGGCATGTTGGCGCTGCCGTTCAGTCTCTCGTAGCTCTGGCCCCAGCAGAGCTTCTTCCTGGCATGGGCTTTGACCAAGGCGAACACAGCCAGAGCCAACCCAAGAGCCAGCAGGAGAGCGATGGGTACGCCAGCTGAGGTGTGCTTCAGAGCTGCAGACGATACATTCAGGTCTGTTACCTGATCGTCCCCTGACTTGGGTTGCGGCGCCTCCACACACAGACCTAAAACAAAAAAACTGCCTTTAAGAGATGAATCAGAATACCTTTATTAGTCCCACAGAGGGGACATTTACATTGTAAAAGTACTAAAGATAAAAAAATAAAAATTATAATAAAAAAGTTACACGTTTTACAAAAATACACACCCTGTAACAGTTCTGAGGATTTAGCAGCCAGGTATATATTGCACAGTTTTTAACGGCATATTGCATATATATATATATATATATTGCTCATATTGCACATAGTTTGCACATAATTGGTTGCACCTAAACAGTCCTATGTTGCTTCTGAAAGACAGGGTCTCTACCTGAGCGGCCATCACAAACACAGCAATCAGTGTCGTTGACTCCAGCCTGACAGCAGCGGGTGCAGCGCCTCTCCACAGCATGAAGAGCAAAACCCCGGTGACAAGTCAAACACTGGTCAGGTCTGAGGCCGGTACAATGCCTGCACGAGCTGTCACATGGCTCACACGTTTCCTACAACGGTAACATTTCAAAACATCATGATTGGTATGTGACATTACACTTTTCCAGCTTAAATCAAACCAGTTCAAAAAGCCCAGACAAAAACATAGATTTATTCGAAATAACCACAACTATGATAACTGGCAATTCACAGACCTATAGTAAGAAGCTAGGGAATATGTTGTCATGACCTTGATTATTTAGTTACTTTACCATTTGAAATGCATACAAAGGACATCAGCAGATCCTCATTTATGTATACAACGATCCCACTACTAAACAGTAGTGCAATGATTGAGTGAGGAATTAATGTGACAACTTTTCTTTTGAAAATCCAACAATATTAAATAGGGGAGCATTGTCCTCTGCTTTCAAATATGTTGATTAGAATAATTAAAGTAATATGGTACATGGCTTGAAGCTAAGCGCACACCTTTTCTGAAAAGTATCGCCCCTCTTCACAACACGGATAGCAGACTTTGTCCTTTAAAGTGCTGCCCCAGTCGCACGTCAAACATCCCTGAGGCGAGGCATCTGGAAACACATACTTATGATGTGAGAACTTGCATGAAAACAAAAGTGCAAAATTGACATATCGGGCAGATATCTACGTAGATAAACAGGATAACAAATCGACCACAGAAATAACTGTGTAATGGTTTTAAGAACTATACCTGTGCATGTCTGACAACTGGTGTGGCACTGTTTGCACATGTCATTGAGCTGATAGAAACGATGGGGACAGTGCTCCACACACAGCTTGGTGCCCTGCAGCTCCAGAAGAGGAGGGGCACAGGCCCTGCAAGACTCAGGCCCCGCTCCCGTACACAGCTCACAGGATCGGTCACATCTCTCACACTGAGAGCCCTCTCTGTAATACCTGAGGAAATGCGTGAAATGATCAATATTAACTTAAGACAATTAAGAAATCTTCATAGTTTGATGATAGTTGTACTACTGCTATAAGATTTTAGAAAGATGTTGAACATACTGGCTATGTTAATAACTCAGATTATTTCCTAAACAAATATGATATTTCGTTATGCTTCCTGGATAAGACAATAGTGGGAGCATTACGAAAGTCAATAGACTTTGTTAAAAGGGTTGCAGTTTAATACCAAAGTAAAACATGTCATGATTAATCAGCCAGCTGTTTACCCTGTGGGACAATTAGTGACACAGAGGTGGAGGAGGCGCAGGTGTCCCACAGAGCATGTCAGGCAATCTTTGGGCGAGAGACCCAGCTCCGTCCCATCAGCATCCTGCTCTGTGGCGTATGTACCGTCTGTACACTCACTCACACAGCTGCTGTCTGGAAAATAAGTGCACAGAGAAAAGGTTCCATTCATAATTCAACCATTTTTGGCACTTATAGAGATGAGGGGAGAAAACATTCTCAATACAAGATTCTGAATCGGTTGAAAAATGTTAAAAATAATCTATTTTTGTAAAAAAGAAAAATTGACAGAACTACAATTGCTTACACAACAATAATTGCTATTAATATTAAAACAAAAAAACTAATTTAAGGCTCCAAAAAATAAAAGGTAAAATGCTACAATTTCTTCAAATGCAATTGTACACAGAAGCAACACAGGTATATTAAGTCATACATGTATATTGCCATGATTCAGAGGTTGATGTTGTTAACTGCTGATCAACGACATGCAGCTGTTTAGGCGTGACCAAAATGCAGTTGCAACTAGAGTTAAAAATGTACATCAGACTTGTTTACAATGACTAAACAAGGCTTCATCAAGTTCCTAAATAATACTTTTATAGAGTCCCTGATGACACTCTGGAGATACTGTATGTGTTTATTTTCTCTGTGGCATAACAAAAGCACATTTATTTTACACCCTTTACCACTTCAGTTTTGCAGTTTAATATGACTAGACCATGCTCACTATGAAGGTATTTGGGGACGGCACAGGTCTGGCATTCATCGTTGCTCGGCCCCTCACACGAGTAACAGTGCCGGTGGCAACCCATGCAGGTGAACTGGTCGTCGTGGAGATAGGTCCTCGGTGGGCAGTCTGTGTCGCCCGTCACGCCACACAACAGTGTGTTTGGATCCAGCACGAGGCCTTTCTCGCACTGGGTGCACTGGTTGGCATCCGAGCCGAAGCAGCTGAAGCATGTCTGGTGACACTCTGCACATATTCAAATAGACTGTTTCAGTGCAATAACATATTATTTACAAATGAGGGTGTGATGGCCTCAATATGCCTAGAGGTGAGTCTGTAATCTATAAGGCGGCAGTGGCTCACTCTGTAGGGACTCTTCCATCTTAAATAAATACGGTTTTAATGTCTCACTAAGCTGTAGACAACCTTACAAATAATACAGGGATGTGTGGCCCTGGTTGATTACGTGGATTAAGCACTTTCTTTATTAGCATAAACGTATTTTCATTCAAATATTCATGTTATGTTGACTTTACATTCAATAAAACAATAGTTACGTATGTAACTACGGTTCTATGAATACTGGATGACCGCCAGAGGCGGTGCTTTAGCACTGGATATCTTCTGTCTCGCGCATGCGTAGGTCGAATATTTATATCAACAAAGACACGTGTGACCTCGTATGACCCCGGAAGGCATAAGTTCCGGTGTTGTCAACGAGTTCAGTTCTATGGAATGTTCTCTCGGAAACACGAGATTCCGAGTGACCAAGAAACTCTGGCGGTCATCCAGTATTCATAATAATAATAATTCCTTATAGCGCTTTTCCAGATGCTCAAAGCGCTTTACAAATACACATTACACATATTTTTTATACATGCAATGGTCACTGTGGACAATACCCACAGGAGCAAGTTCAGGTGAAGTGTCTTGCCCAAGGACACAACGGCTTTACAGACGCAGCAGCGGCGGGTTTCACCCCTTGATCTGATGATCATTGCACAGCGCACTGCGCCACACCGTCCATCTTCACGCCTCGAAGTCATCGAGGCGCTTTTACAAGTACACATTGATATTATACATGTACTGTGGACATTACCCACAGGAGCAAATCCGGGTGAAGTGTCTTGCCCAAGGACACAACGGCCTGACGCAGTGGCGGCAGGAGCGGGTTTCGAACTGGAGTTCCCCAGCACCCCCCCTTGATCTGATGATCAGATGCACAGACCACTGCGCCACCCGTCCCTAGAACCGTAGTTACATACATAACTATCGTTCTATTTCATCCTTACTGACCGCCAGAGGCGGTGCTTTAGCACTGGATGACCTATACCAACAGAGTCACGAGGAAGTCTGAATACTCCCCCTATAAGGATGGCCTAGGCTGACTCTGCAGGAGGACCACACCCAGCGGGTGAGGGGTGGCAACATTCACCCTGTAGTATCTGGCGAATGTGCTCGGGGATGCCCATGTGGCCGCAGCATATATGTCCTTTCACCTTAGGGAGGAACGCTGTGTTCGGCCATAAGGTGACACCTGAGCCATCTGAGTTCCACCTCAGACACGAGCTGTTCACGGACAAGGCCTGAAGCTCGCTTACACGCTTTGCTGAGGTGATGGCAAGAAGGAAAGCAGTCTTAGCTGAGAGCCACTTCAGTTCTGCCTGTAACAAAGGTTCAACAGGAGGCGAGCATAGGGCATCCAGCACCAAGGGCAGGTCCCATGTAGGGGCCCTTGGGATATTCGGGGGGCGAAGCCTCAGAGCTCCCCCTTAAAAAGAGGGATACCAACCTATGGCTCCCACTGTGCTGTTGTCAGCCCTTGCGTGTTGAGCTGATATAGCAGCCACATACACCCTGACGGTAGCGGGTCACCGGCCGTCGTCCAGGAGGGACTGCAGGAACTCAAAGGTCGTAGGCACCGAGCAATATACTGGGTCCTCATTTCCCCCTTGGCACCAGTAAAATAAAATAAAACAGTTTCCACCTGTTTTCGTACTGCCTACGAGTAGACGGTGCCCTAGCATTTGAGAATAGTCTTCCTGACAGACTCTATGCAGTCACTCAGCAGTGGGTCGGGCCCTCCAGTGGCCAGACCCACAGCTGGAGGCGGCAGGGGTCGGGGTGCCACATCCGACCCTCCAACTGAAACAAGAGGTCCTTCCTGTTGGGGAGACCCCAAGGTGTCCCACAGCAGAGTCTGTGCAGCAGATGGACAGGCCCGCACCTAGCTGGGTTAAACAAGGAAGTTTAACAGGACAGCCTAGCCAGGCGGCTCCTGCTAGAATCAAGCAACACTTCTACCAGGAGCGGGGGCGAGAACACTGCCTTCACTGGTTGAGTTGATAACGAATTCCAGATGCAGCGTAACCGGGAGCGGGTGCAAGAACACAGCCTCCACTAGCTACCTGCTGAACGTAAAGAGTAGAGCAATGCTCCTACTTGCCGAACACAGAGAGGGATGTAAATGTCCTACACCCACGTTACCAGCAGAGTGAGCGGGAGCGAGAGCACTGCCTTCACCTAGGTGGATTAGATAAGGACATTTAACAGGGCAGTTTAGCCAGGCAGCTGCTGCTAGAATGAAGCAGCGCGTCTACCAGGAGCGGGGGCGAGAACACCGCCCTCACTGGTTGAGTTAATAACGAATGCCAGATGCAGCGTAGGCGGGAGCGGGGTGCGAGAACACAGCCTTCACCAGCTAGCTGCTGAACGGAAAGAGTAGAGCAACGCTCCTACTCGCCAAACACAAAAGGGATGTAACTACACCCATGTTACCAGCAGAGGGAGCAAGAGCGAGAGCACTGCCTTCACCTAGCTGAAAAAAAAAAGAAGAAGTTTCAGCAGGACAGCCTATCCAGTCGGCTGCTGCTAGAATAAAGCATCACGTCTACCAGGAGTGGGGGCGAGAACACTGCTTTCGCTGGTTGAGTGACTGTGTCCAGAGCCACCCCAATGAAGGTTAGGCTGTGAGAGGGGTTCAGACAACTCTTCTCCATGTTCACCCTGAGGCCTAGCCGGGCGACATGAGAGAGAAGAAGAGCCGTGTCCTGGATCGTCTGTAACCGGGATGGTGCACAGATTAACCAGTCGTCTAAGGAGAGGGAGACTCCGAATGGGAGCACCCTGAACTGGAAATGACGACCTCTGAAAGCAAAGCGAAGAAACTGCCTGTGATGAGGCACAATAGGCACATGAAAATAAGCGTCCTTCAAGTCGACGGACGTGAACCATTCCCCCCTGGCCACGATACGAAGAACGTCCGCTGTGCTCAGCACATGGAAAGGTAAAATCTTTAGGAACTTGTTGAGTCCCCTCAGATCGAGGATTGGGCGAAGTCCACCGCCTTTCTTCCTTACCAGGAAGTAGGTCGAGTAGAAGCCGGGGGCTCTGAGATGGGGTCCACAGGCTTGATTGCACCCTTGGCAAGGAGGACTGACAGCTCCTGGTTTAGGGCAATTTCTTTTGCCGGGTCGCTTATGGTGGTCATCTTGACCCGGCTGAAGAGTAGGGGCCAGCGTCGGAACTGAAGCTTGTACCCTTGGGTTAAGGTGGAAACCACCCAAGGGTCTGAAGCTTGAGCTACCCAGTAGTTGAGCTGCTGCTGGGAGAAATAACCAACAGCCGGCCCCAGACCCTCAGTACCTTGCCCCCCGGCCTCTGGCTCTGGGGGGGCGACGGTTAGGCACCGGATACCGAGGCTGCCTTGGGGGTGAGTTAACAGGACCGTAGCGGGCCGGCCCCCTCGTGGGGCGCTAAGGCCCATGGCGGGCACCGGGGTGAGCCGGTGGATGGGAGCGGCCTCGGGAGGCAGACCTCTAGGCCTACCGGGGGAGAGCCGTTAGACCTAGCGATAGCTAGAGCACTCAGCTGACTGTAAATAACTGGGCTAGGAAACAAATATGCAGTGGAGGGGAGTGAGCACAATAGTAGTTAGCTCGAGCGTGAGCACTCTACTAACTGGGGTGAGAACAATTAAGTCAGTTAATGGTTTTATGCCGTGAGAGGAGAGCGGGAATACTGAAGGGCTGGAAGGATACTTCCTATACTGAAGGATGGAACGGGCATTAAACCAACTGTGTGCAGTGAGAGGGGAGCGGAAACACTCTTCACTACCGCTGTAGCAAGTTAACTTTGAGCCAGAGCACTCAGTTAACTGGAGGATGGAACAGGAACAAACTGTGTGCAGGGAGAGGGGAGCAGAAACACTCTCTTCACTAGCGCTGTAGCAAGTTAACTTTGAGCGAGAGCACTCAGTTAACTGGAGGATGGATGCACTTTATATGTCGTTGCCACTCTTTGCATATCATGTATTTTGTTTTTTACCATGTTTGTAAAATGTAATTTCCTTAAATGTTTTATGTGAGGGAATGGAAAGAAGCTAAATCTGGCACTGTTACGCTTGACACATTTAAATGTTTTAAGTGTTCATTACAGTGCATGTCCCTGTCAAATAAACGATTAAATAAAAATAAGTTCTAGGGCCGGGACTCGATTAAAAAAATTAATCTAATTAATTAGAGGCTTTGTAATTAATTAATCGAAATTAATCGCATTTTTAATCGCATATACATATTTGACCTAAGAACAGTGAGAAGCAATTTTTTTTCACATGGATTTTAGTATACCATTAGGCGCATTCACACCGCAGTACTTTTCCCACAAAGGTTCATGAGAATTTAGTTCATGAGAACTCTTTGAACCTGGGGGTGGATTAGGCAAATGAAGCCGCTGACGTCACTTCTTCTTCTTCTGCTTTGGGTTTACTGGCAGGCCGCAAACCACTTCACGGCGTATACTGCCGCCCAAAGTCCCCGGCCGGAAGTCCCCGGAGTTGGGGACTGGCTTCAGTAGAAGCTGCTGGGAGTCCCTGCAGCCTACCGAGTAAATCGCCAGAACGCCGACACCTCCTCATCTCCACCGCTCCCATGTTTTATTTTGTGTTGCCATAAGTTAGTCTCTCTGCGTTTCTGCGCTGGGCTAATGCTAATAATGCTAATGCGAGGATAATAAAATGGCGGCTTCACAAAACTTTTTGGGAGTTTTACGGGGCGTGGTTTGCAATCCGCCCAGCCAATCAGAAATATAGCTCTTTTCTCACAAGAGAGCCGTACGAAAGTCCCTGCTCTCTAGCAGCTCTCTGCTCTCTAGCAGGGACTTTCGTGGGGGTAAAAAGGTTCTCATTAACTAATTTTAGTACTGGTTCTTTTTGGTGTGAACGCGATAAAAGAGGCTAACGTCCACGCTAGCTGCTATATGTTTTGCATTGAGGTGATACTTGAGGCTTGATGTGCTGCGGTGATATGCGAATTCCTTTTTGCATAATTTGCACACAACCGTGCTCTTATCGACGCTTCCATCCGTCCGTTTTTTAAAACAACATTTCCCACTGTTGTTCACTGTGGTTTGTTGTTGTCTGAAGTCATGAACGTTAGTTGGTGCTCCAGTATAATCGGTACGCCTGAAACTCATCCAGTGAGAAACGTTCCGCGGTGCAAAAATAACTGCGATTAAAATGCGTTAATTTTTTTAACGCGTTAATTTTTGTGTAATTAATTAATCTTAATTAACGCGTTAAAGTCCCGGCCCTAAAAATAACCAATTGTGTGCCGTGAGAGGGGAGCGAAGACACTCTCCTCACTAGCGCTGTAGCGAGTTAGCTTTGAGCGAAAGCACTCGGCTAACTGGGGATAGAACAGGAACTAATTGTGAGCTGTGAGAGGGGAGCGAAGACACTCTCTTCACTAGCGCCGTAACAGTTAGCTTGAGCGAGAACACTCAGCTAACTGGACGATAAAACAGGCAAGGAACCAAATGTATGTAGTGAGAGGGGGGCGGAGACGCTCCCTTCACTAGCGCAGTAACAAATTAGCGAGAGCCCTCGGTTAACTTGTACACAGTTATCTCATTAGCTTGAGAATAGATAGCACAATCAGCGATAATGGTAGCCATTTCACCGGCTGACGTGCAGGAGCATCCGCTCTTTACCGGTCCGGAGCTCCTGGGGTCCGAGCGGTGAACACCGCGGTCCCCTCCCTTGGGAGGGCGGACAGCTCGTCGCAGCCTTTGGAGGGCGATCGGAGCCCGCAGCTCCGATCGAGACGATCACAAGGCTACAGGTAGCGATGAGCTAGAATCTAGTGATGTTACGTATTGCGCCGAGGCTTCGGAGCATGTGTCGAGTAATCCCCGAAGCTTTTTGTGAAGCATGTATCGAGGCTTGTATCGTTTTGGGCCAGTGATGTCATCGATGACAAACGAAGCCTCGCTGCCTGTCGATACCACGTGACTGCTTCAGGAAGCGATTCTGATCGGTTGAACCGTTGAACCACAACGCTCATAATACCTATGGATGTATAATAAATGACCCCTCCTGTACCCGGGCCCGCTGGTGACACGATGGAATTAAAAGAACTCAGAACCTCACTTATATAGAGGTCGGAACATGTCATAAGTATAAATAGATACAAGCATAAATAAATGTAGGAAAAAAAACATGAATGAATAAATACAGGAATAAATATCTTACAGTGTTTTCAGTGAGATTCAGCTTGTGTGCTGTGGCTCAGCTGGAAAGCAGTTGACTCACGACCGCAGGGTTCCTGGTTCAACGACTCGTCGATACGTATTTTTTGTTGTTTATAAAAGCTACAGCTAAATGAGATAATGTAGTTAATAAATGTATTCTTTGATATGGTTTAGCCTTTCTTAGGCTACAACATGGTTACGTTTATGAATATTAGTAAGGAATACAAATCCCTCTTTGCAATGTGTACCAGCCTCCTTAGGCTTTTCAATCACAATCATTCAACTGGAATAAAAACAATATTGTTAACATGAAAATGATTTAATGTTGGTTGTTTAGAGTTATTCTAAGGCTTTACTCATTGGGAACTCGGTATGAGATAGAGCACACTGTTGAGATGTCCAATCTGCCTGTTTTACACACTTTGACCAACAGGGGGTTTGTGTTCAAATGAAGCCCATGATGAAGCCTCATGAGATGAACCCTTTTGCGAACCAATTGGCTGGAAAGCTTCAAAGCTTCATAAGGCTTCATCTCGCCATCACTACTAGAATCTTAATTTTCAATAAGCTAGCTTGGCTTCTACTCAAAAAGTAGTAACCTGCGCAGCGAGAAGATGAAAAAGAACTGAACTCGTTGACAACACCGGAACTTATGCCTTCCGGGGTCATACGAGGTCACACGTGACTATGTTGATATAAATATTCGACTTACGCATGCGTGAGACAGAAGATATCCAGTGCTAAAGCACCGCCTCTGGCGGTCAGTAAGGATGAAATAGAACTGGCTGGCAAAATATCATTGTGCTCTCATGCTTTCATATTTATCACTTCAGATATGGTTTATGATTGTATTGGGGAAATTCCCCTTGACATAGCCAGAATGCAACTTAATAATTTAACAATCCAATGGCAGATAAAAATACCCTGATTATTCAAAACTGCTCAATAATCTCATCAATATATTGAGAGGCTCACCTTGACACTCCATAGCTTCTGTGTCATAGTAAGTACCAGGGGGGCAGTCTTTGGAGCATGCACCCTTATATAGCTTTGGGCTAAAGGTGGAGCAGGTCTCACAGTTGTCTGCCAGGGGCCCTGAACAGCTGTCACAGGTCAGGTGGCACTGACCGCAGTGGCCCTCCTCCATGTCCTCATAATAGCCCATGGGACAACTTGCTTTACACACACCGTTCAGCATCAGGTAGAGGAAACTGCATTCTGAAATGATATTAATGTGGGATGGTAAAGTTGTAGTAAGAGATGTCCTGATGATACACAATGTCTCACCATTTAATTAAAAATGTAATCTTCTTGGAATATAAAATAACTTAAACATGTTTCTTAGTTTAAGGCAGGGGTGTCCAAACTACGGTGGGTCATTTTGAGTCAGCCCACAGCAAATTCATAAAGTACAATGGAGTATGGCCCAAAAATGAAACCTGTGCTTGTCTTGTATTGTACTTCTTAACCTGTTAAGCCCGAAGGTCCCCGCTGGCGGGGAACCTGTTTTTTTTTTTCACGACACTGTGTCTCAGGCAGGGTGGGAATTTCACGACGGCCACGACGGCCATGGCCGTCGTTGCCCCTCACTTTGGCCGTGATGCCCTGTGAAAAAAAATGCAATTCACGGCCAAAGTGGCCTTGGTGCCCCTGTCAAAAGTTCCAGTGTAAACAACGCTAGTAAAGTCATATTAGTGCGCGCAGTAGGATAGTCCCGTGCCTGTGGATCAGAGCGATTGCTCTGCTGTGATTGTTCCGTCAGAAATGCCTGTAGGGGCCCGACAGCCTGCTCCTCAGCCGCGGGAGCAAGACAAGCACAGGTAAGCAAGCGGACCAAGCTGTTTTGATATGATTTAACTGAAGTATGTGGTAGTATTTGAAAGGACTTAACATTTACGTGTTTATAGAAAGTACTATTGATAGGTAATTACCATTGTATTAGCCTATTTAAAGTCGACTCGTTACATTTTGTCATGAAAACTAGCGATAGCTAGCTAGTTTGGATAGCGCTAACGTCTTCCCTTCAAGGGGTCTACATCTAGTGTTGCTTCTACAAGCTAGCAGATAGCTGTCACCTTTGAATCTAGTATTTTTCTTGCTAAGCGGTTTTGATATAATACATGACTGACTTATGTGGTTTATGGCTGAACTTAACGTATACGTTAAAGAAACACTATTGCTATTCAGCCATTTGTAAAACGACTGGTGTTGACGTTAGTGCTACACTTTTCAGTCATGTTGATTGACCAGCGTAATTTAACCAAACGGCCTTTGTGCCCTGTCATGTGGCCTTTGTGCCCTTGAAAAAAATGTGAACGGGAAGGCCAAATGGCCTTGCCCCTAAAATGACGAAATTCCAAGCCTGGTCTCAGGGCATCTTAATATTTAAAAACCTATTAATGTGTTATACCAGATTGACGAGAAGAATCTCAGCTAACTGACGATACGAACCATTTTTACCGAAACAAAACACAAGTCTCACATCACATTAACAACGATGTACAAATGAAAGTCGGAGACAAATACATATTTGAAATGATTTATTCACGTTTGCAATGTTTTGAACAGACATCCCCAGTCACCTCATTGTCATTTTGTAGTCCTCGTTGTACGCGTCCGTGTATCGGCATCGCAACCACAACCTCACAGACTGGTACTGAATGTGCAAGTGTTCCTATGGAGCCAAATATACCAAAATATCAATGTAAACAACAGAAGAAGCGATCAAAATGTGTATTTCCTGGTTATTCGACAATGGCTCCTCAAAATACACGCCCCATTCCTACCGTTAACGTAACGTCACGAGTTCCCCGGTGTAACCAGTTAAACGGCAACACCGGCGCCCTAACCACAACATTTGTTTTGGGCATAGCATTTTCGAGCCTGAAACCTGAAAAACAGGCTCAGGGCGTAAGAGGTTGGTTACCATATAATTTGCTAAACAAATGCCTAACACACCTTAGTTTGACACACCGACTGAGAGGGCTGATTCAGTTTTTCATTAGATATACCTGTCAAACTTTAGCTTGCAGTGAAACAAAGGTCACCGATGCTGAAGTGACTACAGCCAAGGAATGACAAGGTTTTTCATTCACCTGACTTTGAGGACCCTCTCTCTCATCCTCATAGGTAGCGTGAGTTGCCCTAATGTGTGACACCTAAGCTCAAATGGGTGTAGGTCTTCCGCAAACAAATGAGAGTCAGTAGGCTTGTTTGAGACGCGTTGCGGCTCGCCTCAAAAGTAGACGAGAATAGCCGATCGCAGCCGGGGGAGGTCTCAAAAAGCTCGCCTGAAGTCGGACAGCTCGGGTTGCATTCCGATAATCCAAAAATCAGCTCCTAAATTCTAACCCTATCTCCTATTCCTTGACCTCTGAGTGAAACGTCACGGGGTTAAGGGATAGTGGATAGGAGAATTCAAAAGGACTTAGGAGAAGAGACTGCGGTACTTTAGAGAATCCGAATGCACTTTCACTATCCGACGTGTTTATGATGCGCCAGCGGACGTCATGAATGTGCTGCTGTGGGGAAACTATGGAAACTACAGTTTTCTATACAGCGGACTACAACATGGATGTTTAATAAGAACGGCGGACTCATCTAGAGACTCTGCACCGTGCTTTGATGCTGTTGTTTTATGCTTTATGAACGTGGACAACAGAGAAACATATTCTTCATGACCAAAGTTGGAATTGAAATAAAAAAGGAAAGTGAAACTTATGCTCGTCGTCACCCTCTCCCTCCGGTCCACATTAATACAAATGATCCCAATACGTATGATTGTATGAACTATGAAAATATCTTAAAATCAATACAAATGTATTTATTATAAACGTTAGTCCTTAACATCTATCACTGTGTAGATCACCATTCAAACATCTTTTAAAAGTTGAACAAACCCCACACAGCTCAGTAAAGACTGTGAAATGTTGACTTTATTTGATCATTTCAGTAAAAACTAACGTTCATATTTCTCTTTTTGATTATAATACTGATGAACGTTCAGAAAAAAGCACTTTGGCAACTTACCACATACGTTTTAAAATGCTTAATAAGCACCGTAACATTCATGATATTATTTCTCGGTCATAATCGGTTGTTTCCTTGAACGGCCGACTGTTGAGTGACGCCAAATGCTGCGGCTGCAATGCATTGTGGGGCAGCATTTTCTCCTCTCCTTTCGGTAAGGGAGGTCCAGTGGTTCCTAAGCTAAAGGAGGCTTTAAAGGAAGTTTGAAGCCTCCTTTCCTTTCCTTTTTAGAGAATTGGAACGGCACTTATCATGGCTGCCACTGAGGGACTTCCGGGTCATTTCACTTAGGAAGGTTCCTAAGCTAAATGGACTATTGGAACGCAACCTCGGAGTCGGCTTCGTCTTCTTCTCTCGGTTTTTTGGCGGATTGCAAACAACTTTAAGGTGCATACCGCCACCTTCGGAGTCGGCTTGACTTGGTTTGCATTTATAAAGAATGCACAAATGTGTTTAATCGTTAATGTCAGATATGTACTATGTAAATACATTTGTTCCTGCTCAAGATTAGATTCAACTGTATTCTTATTGTACATATTACAGGTACTGAGACAACGAAATGCAGTTTAGCTTCTAACCAGGTGCAACAAGCAGTAAAGTGAAAAGTAATGTACACAATAGACAGAATAAAATATAGAATGAATTGAATGATGAATAAACAGTGAGGGGTAGGAATACACTAGATATCAGCCTGTGAGCAGTATGAACAGTGTGTATGAATATGCAGGAACCGCTGCGCGTAGGAGAAGGGCCGGTCAGCGTCCTCGAAGGGGAGGGCCCGGAACCGGCGGCGATGTCCCTCTGGCGTGCTGCCAAGCCGGTCCAGTAAGGCCTTCCTCAGATGCCGGTACACATGCCGAGAGACTGCTGTGGGCGGCTAGCTGCGCACCCCCAGATAGCAGAGGCAATAGCCGCGCTGCCCACTCCTCCTCCGGCCACCCGCACGCCGCCGCTGTGCCCTCAAAGATGTCCAGGTATGCCTCCGGATCATCCTCTGCCGTCAGTTTCTGGAGGGCAATTGAAGGCGGTCGGGCCGGGTTGGTAGCGGGATCGGCCTCCCGAGCGGCCGGACGCTGCAGCAGCTCCCGTAGGAGAGCCCGGTCCTCGCGCTGGCTCGAGGCGATCCCGAGCAGAGCCTTGCTCTGCTGTCGCTGTAATGCTGTGGTGGTCTCCTGCATGTGAGCGAGACGTTGGAGGGCCTGACCCAGCGGGGTTTCTCCTTCCGCCATCAGGTCCCTGTTCAGGCGCCACTGTGAGCCTCTCCGCTCACACAGTGTTCAAATAGGGACGGAAAGAGCAGGTTGGTTTATCACAGGCGTTTATTAGCTCCAAACAAAGTATACACGGGTCTCCAACGTTGCCCGTGTGGGAACCTTCACAGGTCCTTTGGCGACCTTCCAGGATCCCGCCTACTGCAAAACCGCCCAGAACCAGGTTACGACATGCTTTTAATCCGGCACTGATTACCTGATTCCGATCGGCTGTCTGGCCTCCGGCCGAGCCACTCCCTTCACTCCAGCAGCCGGTGTTGCCGTTTAACTGGTTACACCGGGGAACTCGTGACGTTCTAACGGTAGGAATGGGGCGTGTACTTTGAGGAGCCATTGTCGAATAACCAGGAAATACACATTTCGATTGCTTCTTTTGTTGTTTACATTGATCTTTTGGTATATTAACTTACTTGTCTTTTTGGAGTTACATTTTCTAAATGAATGGCCAGTGAATGAATATACATGTGTCAGTGAATTAATCTAATCTCTTTGTTTTTCCACATTTGTTTTCAGTGATGCAGTTGAGTTTGAAATGGCTTCTGGACCCCCATCTGCCACTCAGCCTGTCTCAACAATGCCACGACCATCCACCCAGCCATCCCCACCCTCACATCCATCAACGTCTGCTTCCACTCAGCCTGCCTCAACAAAGCTACGACCATCCACTCAGCCATGCCCACCCTCACATCCATCAACGTCTGCTTCCACTCAGCTAGGCCGTTCCACTCGAAGGGTTTCTGCTCCCCCTCCTCAGCCATCATCTTCTGATTCTGAGACACCCAAAGAGCTGCCATACAAAAGGAAAGGAAAAACATCTCTAAAACCCAGGAAGCGTGGCCGAGGTGGGTCTTCCTCTTCCAGAACA